GCTTGTCTCAGAAATATTTTTTTAAAAGGCTAGAAGTGCAGCTGTTCTAGAATAGTCTTTCCAGGGAGAAATCATTCCATTCACTTGAGAGATTAATAAAGAAAAAGCTTTGTAATGATAGCATGCACCCCTCTCTGGTAAATGCTCAAAGAGGAGAGAGACGAGAACAAACACTGCATTCCACATGTGCCGCCATTCTTAACTTTCTCTTAGGTTCAGACTCTTGCTTACACTCAGAAGAATTTAAACAGTAACAGGAAATTTAAGTCTAGCCAGTTAGGCAAATGGGAGACTTACAAAGCAAAGATATTACCATAATTTTACATAAGTATACCAGAGACCTGAAATAGCAGGTCATACTTTAGTAATAGGTTTTGAGGTGGAGCACCAGAAGATGAGAAAGATTAAAAAAAAAAAAAAAAAGTAAAACAAAGAAAAGATAAACGCTGAGGCAGGAGTATTGCATATATGTCTTATTCCAAGCAAGCAATAGCTTCTTGTATACTACTTCCAGAGGAAAATCAAAGTCAGCAGAAATTATTACCATACAATGGGACAAACTCAGGAGACAGTTATTCAAATACTACAGCACAAGGGGATCACAGAATATGTCAAGAATATTATCAAGAATATATCAAGGTAACAGGACAGTTACCTAACTGGAAACTCAATATTCACTGGCTCAAGCTAACCTTCCCAAATTATAAAATCACAAATCATGTCTATCTTCATTCACATGACAAAATTAATACATCCTGGCACGTTAAAAAATTACTAAAAATGTATTAATTATGATTTTTATTGATGTGAAGAGACAACATGACCACCATAACCTGTATAAAGAAAATACTTAATGAAGTTTGCTCATTTCCAGTTCAGAGTTCAGTGAATTATCATCATGGTGGGGGCATGATGATGTGCTGGTTACAACTTGGAATGCAGACCACAGGAAGTTGCTTGGCAGTATCCAGAACACAGGAAGTCTCCAAGCCCATCCACATTGACACACTGGTTTCAACAAGACCATACCCATTAAAAAATATACCCATACTTCCTAATAGTACCACTCCTTGTGAGATTATAGGGGCCAGTTACGTTCAAACTACCACACTGCCAAAATCAAGTCCTTTCTTGTACTTGTGACTCCGGCAGCTGATTTCCTACCATTTTCCCTGCAGCGCTCTCAGTAAACTATTCTTTCTACTCTGGTCTGAAGGCAGAAACCATGTTCCACATGCAAATCCTTCTCCTGTGACTGTAATGGATAGTCAATTACATGACTCAAGTGGGTAATTTTAAAAGTCTGAGGATATACAGTAATTTAAGAATTTTGGAGGTAGGGGCTGAAGAGATGGCTGGGGCTAGAGAGATGGCTCAGAGGTTAAGAGCATTGCCTGCTCTTCCAAAGGTCCTGAGTTCAATTCCCAGCAACCACATGGTGGCTCACAACCATCTGCAATGGGGTCTGGTGCCCTCTTCTGGCCTGCAGGCATACACACAGACAAAATATTGTATACATAATAAATAAATAAATATTTAAAAAAATAAGAATTTTGGAGGTGTAATCAAAAAGATAACAAGGTCATTGACCAGAAAGCAACACACTGGGATAAAGGTCACCTATGTCAATATAGGAGAGCTTGTCTCAGAAATATTTTTTTAAAAGGCTAGAAGTGCAGCTGTTCTAGAATAGTCTTTCCAGGGAGAAATCATTCCATTCACTTGAGAGATTAATAAAGAAAAAGCTTTGTAATGATAGCATGCACCCCTCTCTGGTAAATGCTCAAAGAGGAGAGAGACGAGAACAAACACTGCATTCCACATGTGCCGCCATTCTTAACTTTCTCTTAGGTTCAGACTCTTGCTTACACTCAGAAGAATTTAAACAGTAACAGGAAATTTAAGTCTAGCCAGTTAGGCAAATGGGAGACTTACAAAGCAAAGATATTACCATAATTTTACATAAGTATACCAGAGACCTGAAATAGCAGGTCATACTTTAGTAATAGGTTTTGAGGTGGAGCGCCAGAAGATGAGAAAGATTAAAAAAAAAAAAAAAAAGTAAAACAAAGAAAAGATAAACGCTGAGGCAGGAGTATTGCATATATGTCTTATTCCAAGCAAGCAATAGCTTCTTGTATACTACTTCCAGAGGAAAATCAAAGTCAGCAGAAATTATTACCATACAATGGGACAAACTCAGGAGACAGTTATTCAAATACTACAGCACAAGGGGATCACAGAATATGTCAAGAATATTATCAAGAATATATCAAGGTAACAGGACAGTTACCTAACTGGAAACTCAATATTCACTGGCTCAAGCTAACCTTCCCAAATTATAAAATCACAAATCATGTCTATCTTCATTCACATGACAAAATTAATACATCCTGGCACGTTAAAAAATTACTAAAAATGTATTAATTATGATTTTTATTGATGTGAAGAGACAACATGACCACCATAACCTGTATAAAGAAAATACTTAATGAAGTTTGCTCATTTCCAGTTCAGAGTTCAGTGAATTATCATCATGGTGGGGGCATGATGATGTGCTGGTTACAACTTGGAATGCAGACCACAGGAAGTTGCTTGGCAGTATCCAGAACACAGGAAGTCTCCAAGCCCATCCACATTGACACACTGGTTTCAACAAGACCATACCCATTAAAAAATATACCCATACTTCCTAATAGTACCACTCCTTGTGAGATTATAGGGGCCAGTTACGTTCAAACTACCACACTGCCAAAATCAAGTCCTTTCTTGTACTTGTGACTCCGGCAGCTGATTTCCTACCATTTTCCCTGCAGCGCTCTCAGTAAACTATTCTTTCTACTCTGGTCTGAAGGCAGAAACCATGTTCCACATGCAAATCCTTCTCCTGTGACTGTAATGGATAGTCAATTACATGACTCAAGTGGGTAATTTTAAAAGTCTGAGGATATACAGTAATTTAAGAATTTTGGAGGTAGGGGCTGAAGAGATGGCTGGGGCTAGAGAGATGGCTCAGAGGTTAAGAGCATTGCCTGCTCTTCCAAAGGTCCTGAGTTCAATTCCCAGCAACCACATGGTGGCTCACAACCATCTGCAATGGGGTCTGGTGCCCTCTTCTGGCCTGCAGGCATACACACAGACAAAATATTGTATACATAATAAATAAATAAATATTTAAAAAAATAAGAATTTTGGAGGTGTAATCAAAAAGATAACAAGGTCATTGACCAGAAAGCAACACACTGGGATAAAGGTCACCTATGTCAATATAGGAGAGCTTGTCTCAGAAATATTTTTTTAAAAGGCTAGAAGTGCAGCTGTTCTAGAATAGTCTTTCCAGGGAGAAATCATTCCATTCACTTGAGAGATTAATAAAGAAAAAGCTTTGTAATGATAGCATGCACCCCTCTCTGGTAAATGCTCAAAGAGGAGAGAGACGAGAACAAACACTGCATTCCACATGTGCCGCCATTCTTAACTTTCTCTTAGGTTCAGACTCTTGCTTACACTCAGAAGAATTTAAACAGTAACAGGAAATTTAAGTCTAGCCAGTTAGGCAAATGGGAGACTTACAAAGCAAAGATATTACCATAATTTTACATAAGTATACCAGAGACCTGAAATAGCAGGTCATACTTTAGTAATAGGTTTTGAGGTGGAGCGCCAGAAGATGAGAAAGATTAAAAAAAAAAAAAAAAGTAAAACAAAGAAAAGATAAACGCTGAGGCAGGAGTATTGCATATATGTCTTATTCCAAGCAAGCAATAGCTTCTTGTATACTACTTCCAGAGGAAAATCAAAGTCAGCAGAAATTATTACCATACAATGGGACAAACTCAGGAGACAGTTATTCAAATACTACAGCACAAGGGGATCACAGAATATGTCAAGAATATTATGGATTAAGCCCACAGTGTTCTTGGGACTGATAACTGTAGCTCCACGTGGTGGAAAGAGTAGTGTTCTTAGGACTTGAAGACACTGTCCACCCAGACACAGGCTCCAGACCATTACCACCTCTCCCAAGCACATTCCTGCTTCCAATATAGGAGCTCTATCTTATTTTGCATAGCTCAGGAACTTAGGAAAAACTACTAATACCTATACACTAGGCTGTTCCTGGCTCTACCAAAAAGTTCCAGGGTTTGAGAAGGAGCTATGTTCCATCTCCATGAGGGAGAACTGAAATAAAAAGTGTTGCTTGATCAGCCCAGTCCTCTGCACAACAGTGTTTTCCTTTTCAAACAGCTGAAACCTCCTCTCATCATGTGTATCTGGCAGAACATTAATTTTCCATAGAAGAAAACTGGGTATTTATGGCAGACCAGGCCCTCGAGTTCCCTGTGACCCTGTAATGGCCCCTTGAGCAGCTTGTGAGAGGCCTGTTCTTTGATAAGGGAATAGGCCACGTGGCTGTTTGTAAATCAGAGTGTCTACTGTATCCTGGATTAGAGCCAAATGTTTGGGCAATCCTAGAGAATAAATAGGTCTCCAGGCATCCTAATCTCTAACAGGCCTAGTTAGCATACGACTTATCTTTGGGTAATTTAAAGGCAGGCTTCCTCAGGTAAATATCTCCTAAGCATTGGTGAAGCCTTTATATCAACAATTCTACTCTTCTGCATCACAGCTTAGTAGTGGAGTGGGAACGAACTCAAGAATGCCATTTACAAACTCCACAAAATTAACTCCAAATGGCTCTTACTCCTAAATGTTAAACACAAAATGCCGAACTTCTGGGAGAAGGTAAAAAAACTCTAGAAGTTTGACTGCTTGGCTACCATATGCATCAAAATCACGTTGATATTGACTACAAAGAAGTTTCTACACACAACTCCCTCCTCGAAATGCTTTTTACAGATGCAGCACACAGAGGAATTTTTCAGAGACCGGAAACTGTGGCTGAAGAGTTGCATGGGACCTAAGAGAACCCTGACTGTGGCCTTAAGCTCCCACCCAGGCTCAGTGAGAGATCAGCAACACTGTCCCACATAGCTCACCTTCCTCTCCTCTCCATGTCGGGACAGCAGCCCCTTGCTTACCATGTCCTGGCTTCCATGTTCACCCATGCTCTCCTCACAGTTCCCGGCTCACTCACAAAACAGTGCGCAATCCACTGAGGCGTGGTCCGCTTTAAAATCAAGCCTGTAAAAGGGCGCCAGGAAGTCCCACCTGACTTTTGACTGACAGGTCAGTTTGGAGGCTGTGATTGGATAGTGAGACTTGAGTGACAAGAACAAATATCTCAGCGTCACTGTGTTCTTAAAGGCACAGCGCAGCAGTCCTTGGTTCTGGCCTCCATGCTAAAACCAGAATTTATGGATCTGCAGAGATATGAATGTCAAAATCATTAGCTTTGTCTCCAGTAGATGGCCGAGGTATCTTCCTGCAGCCCATAGGCACATGGCCTTCTTCCTCTTGGACACAATGTGCCCGGCTTGCACAGCCCATTACACACTATGGAGTGGAGTGATTCTCCTGTTCAACAGATGGAAGGATGCCCTGAATATTACAAAATTACACATTTAGAATACAAAAGTTGAAGTTCGTTCCGTGGCTTCAGGCTGACATCAGAACTAAGGATAATTTTTATCTGGTTGTCACAGATACTTCTGACAACCATGAGAGCAATTCAGGAACTACATCAACAACAACATACTATATTTTTCTCCTGAAAGAAAACTAGTTGATACATCCAGGATTTTAATTCCTGATTTTGAGGTCCAAATCTTGAGAAAAGAATAATAATAATAAGTGTTGTCTCATGGCAGTTGAACACCTGGAGAGACCAGGGCTAGAAGAACGCCTTTATGGGCAGTATCATGAGTCAGCACATCTTCCTCAGTGAGCAGGTGAAAAAAATCCTTGCATTATTCAGGGTTCTTTACTTGAACAGGACTGGTAGAATGAAACTCTTCATATATGTAGAAGGTGGATTTATCAGAATGTCTCACGGGTTGTGGTCCAGCTATTCCAACAATGGCTACCTACTAATAAAAAGCTGAATGAAAATCCATGAACTAGATGACTCAGCAGATTTGCAGTATACATGAGAATTCCAACGATGAAGGCTCTAAATCTATTAAAGGAATAAACTTCCTGTCCAGATATGGAACCAGCAGGTAAAGAGAGAAAGAGAGAGAGAGAGAGAGAGAGAGAGAGAGAGAGAGAGTGAGTTATGGCAGACAAATAGAGACAGTGCTTTTTTCTTCAATATTCCTATTAAGTAAACTGCACCAGAAAGGGGGGAGGGGATCCAGATTATAAATGGATATTTTTGCTTGATCGATTTTCTTGATTTGTTTTTTTTTTTTTTTTAGACATTGTTTATCTGTGTTGCCCTGGATCACATTCTCTAAACCAGGCTGTTCAAAAATTCAGAAAATCCAACTGCTTCAGTTTCCCGAGTGCTGGGATTAAAGATCCTCACCACCACCAATTGGGAAAGTTGGATCTTTTCACCTCAAAAGATCCAAATTATAGGGCGGTGGCTCCGTGATAGGTTCGGCCTCTCACGCACTGCAGCCATGATGCCCAAGAGGGAGGTTAGCCCAGTTGGAGCGGCGAAGGTGGAGCCCAAGCGCTGCTCCACGAGGCTGTTGGCCAAGCCCACCCCAGCCAAGGTGGACGTGAAGCCAAAAAAGGCCGCGGGAAAGGTAAATCATCGGATAAAAAAAAAAAAAAAAAAAAAAAAAAAAAAAAAAAAAAAAAAAAAAAAAAAAGGGCAAGCAAAAGGGAAGCGGGGAGCAAAGGGCAAACGAGCTGAAGTGGCCGACCAGCAAACCACGGATCTGCCCGCAGAGAACGGAGAGACCAAAACCAGAGTCCAGCCTCTGAAGAAGAGAAAGAAGCCAAGTCCGACTAACCATCCATCATGTCTGTCAGTGTCCCCGCCTCCCTTCTTGTACAATCAATCCAGATGAATATTTTTATCAACTATTTTGTAAATGCGAGTATTTTAGTAGCTCTAGAAACATTTTTAAAAGGTGGGGAGAAATCCTGCCTCATCCCATTTTTTAAGTGTAAATGATTTTTTTAAGAGGTTAAATCACTTGCTGGTTGTTTATTTTTTGGTACAACCAGAAAATAGGATAATGAATCAAGAGAGGCTGTGACTGTCTCAGGGGTCACCATAACATTCCATAGAGGGGCCTAGTTTTATATCCTACAACACAAAGCATATACTAAGTGGTAATTTGGAGTCTCGGTTGTGCGTTTGTGTCTGAAATATTTTCTGTTATATCCGGTGTCGTGTTTTGTAGAACTGTTGGCTAAAAACCGACTCCTATGTCCTTGCCCTGTCAGGACTGTCTGCCCATGGCAGTCTGTTTTCCTAACAAGTGTAACAATGTGCTGGGAAACATTGAACTTTAGAGTGTGCCTGTGCGTGGCATAAAATGGTGAGTTAGTGGAGTTGAGGATTGTGAGCATTTGATTGTTATGTGAGGTCTTGGGGAAGACTTGCCGAGTTTGGGGATGGAACATCACTTGGAATAAGTTCAAAGAGAAACAACACATGGCTCTTTTGGGTACGTGAACACAATGTATGACTCCTCAGAGTTTGGGTACATGTTTTAAGAATTGAAATGTCTGTGTACTTTACTCCTCAACCAATAAAATTTCCATTGTGAAAGAGTAAAAAAAAAAAAGATCCAAATTATAGGTGAGTCTTCCCATTTTGAAACCTTAAATAAGAAAAACCCCTAAAGGTGTACCCATGTTTTGAGTTTTAATTAACTTCATAGGTAGACAGATTGAGTACCTAGAACACACTTCAGCCAAAACTGAAGAAATGAGACAGCTTACTTACCTCAGGTGACAAGGAGAACATGGGTATTACTTCCAAAGCAAAGCTGTTCCTAAAGAAGGAAAGCATGGAGGAGAGTTTACTTATAGAATCTGGACATGTTCCTGTGGAATTCTGCCTAATTCCTAAGCATAGTCCGTCAACAAATCCACTTCTAAACATGATCAACATGATCACAGTGTAAAAAGAGAGATATTTAGGGGCATTCTTATCTAAAATTCATGCAGGAACCTATGTAAAGTTTTATAAAATGAAAAGAAATTCCCTGGCAAGTTTATCTTACACTAAAACTTCTTAGTTGGGAATCAAATAAGAGACTGTGAAGCAGAATGCTTGGAGCCTTTTGGTTATGTTTGATAACATAATTGTGATGTTAGATATAAAAGTTAAATGTGGCAATGACACAATTCCCCATATCCAAAGGACAGAGAACACAAACACAGATAACATCAAGGAAGAGTCACCTATCAGTAATCTGTTATTAGAGGAACAGCTCTAGTGATCGTCTTTAACCTGAGCACCAGCTGCTTTAGTCTCTGTGCAGGCTGGCTCAGAAGAAGGCCATAGCTGCGTCCACGGAAGACCAGAATTAGTTTATTTAACTAACCCTGCCTGCTTCTTGTCTCAGGGTTGTGGCATTACTCTAGAGAATTTGACTCTTTACTTTTTCTAAACTATAAATTATAGTTATATATATATTGTTTGCATGTGTATGTGCACAGTAATTACAGAGGTCAGAAGAAGGGACAATAATCCAGAGACTACAGTTATGCCAAGTCTTACCTACCATGTGGGGTATGGAATGGAACTTCAGTCTTCTGTAACAGTACCCAGTGCTCTTAATTGCTGAGTCATCTCTCAAGACCCACTTCTTTCATTTAAAATTTATCTCTGCACATTATTAATTAAAAGACATAACATCACTTTCCTCTATTTTGCCTTTCCTCCATCTCTTACCAAATATTTCCCTTGCAGTGTCTCACCTGCTAAGTATGTGTGAACAAATACGCTGAAATATCAAATTACAATCTGATGAGTTTGTTTTATTAGTTGTAGTTTTGTGGTTTAGGGGCTGACAACACTGTATTTGATGAACAATTAGGAACTTCAGCCCTACTGGTGGCTTATTCTATCACATAGAGGGGAATTAAACTGTTTTAAATCAGTATCAGGAGTCTGACTGTGTTTAGGCTGTCTTGGACAGGAAACAAAAAAGAAGAGAGAACTTGAGGTGGGAAATACCTTAGTAGTTAAGCGGACTGAAGATTCTTCCAGAGTAACCAGGTTCCATTACCAGTACATGTTGAAGCTCAGTACTCTCTGTAACTGTTCTTACAGCATCTGCTGGCCTCTTAGACACCGTACATGAATGGGACACAAAGACATGCAAACTAGAAAAACACCCATACATATGAAATAATGAGTAAAAATAGTTTTTAAAAGTAATCACAACAAAACCATAAGACAAGTGATATACACCAAAGAAACTATTTTTCCAAAATTCTTTTAGTACCAGTACTCCAGACAGAGTGAAAAGAATATCATTGTGAGTTTCAAAATAGGTGCTACATAGTCTACATAGGCACACACGAGAGAGGGAGAGAGAGAGAGAGAGAGAGAGAGAGAGAGAGAGAGAGAGAGAGAGAGAGAGAGAGAAAGCACAAAACTGAATAACATTCCAGATAGCAGAATTAGAAAATTGGGGCACGGGAGCCTCCGCCACCGGCGCCGCCACAGCCGCCGCCGGAGGGGGACGCGGCGCGGGCGGGCGTCCCGGCGCGGCCCGTGAGCCTGCGGGAAGTCGTGCGCTACCTCTGGGGCAGCGGCGGCCCCAGCGGCCGCCTTACTCGCGGCCGCGTGCAGGGGCTGCTGGAAGAGGAGGAGGCACGGAGCCGTCTGGAGCGCACCCGCTTGGGAGCGCTCGCACTGCCCCGCGGAGACAGGCCGGGACGGGCGCCGCCGGCCGCTAGCGCACGGGCGGCGCGGAGCAAGAGAGGTGGAGAAGAGCGGGTGTTTGAGAAAGAAGAGGAAGACGATGATGAAGACGACGAGGAAGAGGAGGACAATATATCAGAGGGCTCAGAAGTGCCTGAGAGTGACCGCCCCGCAGGTGCTCAGCACCACCAGATTAATGGAGAGCGGGCCCCTCAGAGTGCGAAGGAAAGGGTCAAGGAGTGGTCGTCCTGTGGACCCTACCAGGGCCAGGATGAAGGGCGGGGACCAGCACCTGGCAGCTGCACACGCCAGGTGTTCTCGATGACAGCTATGAATAAAGAAGGGGGGTCAGCTCGTGTTACAGCTGCTCCAGATTCGCCATCTCCTGTGCCTTTGCCCCCAGGAAAACCAGCCCTACCTGGGGCTGATGGGACACCTTTTGGCTGTCCTCCTGGACGCAAAGAGAAGCCAACCGACCCAGTGGAGTGGACAGTCATGGATGTGGTGGAGTACTTCACTGAGGCAGGCTTCCTGGAGCAGGCCACTGCTTTTCAGGAGCAGGAAATTGATGGCAAGTCTTTGTTGCTCATGCAATGGACAGATGTGCTGACTGGCCTGTCCATCCGCCTGGGCCCAGCCCTGAAGATCTACGAGCACCACATCAAGGTGCTCCAGCAAGGCCATTTTGAGGAGGATGAACCTGATGGCTTCCTCGGCTGAGTGCCAGCCTTGCCCCTACCCCAGTCAGTCCAGATCGTATCACAGTGCCCTGACAGTCCAGGAACTGGACATAGGGACACCCTCGACCTTCCTAATAGATTCCAGTGAGGGGGTACCCTCCTCCATTTCCCCCTTTTCTCACACCCCTACCTTAGTACATCTCTCCACAGCCATGGAGTGTGGGGTAGGAGGACTTGGTTGGCCCATTCACAGGGGCCACCCTTTCTCCCCAAACCAGGACATTTTTGAAAAACAAAAAATCAAGGGAGCTTCCTGTGGCCCCCAAACCCTCTACAGTTCAGCCAGATGTTATCTTATATAAGTGTTCTGTTCTGCCTGTCCTGGTGGTGGGTTCTGCTCCACCACCCGTTCCCTGCCCCCCACCCTGACCTCTAGCCCCTGGAAAACAGGTGAGGTAAGGGACCTTGGGTCCTCTGGCTCCTTCCCTTTCTGTCTGTCCATTGTTGCTCCACCTGGCTGTATGGCTTTTTCATATTGCACTGAAGGATTTTTAAATAAAACTTTAAAAAAAAAAAAGAAAAAAAGAAAGAAAAAGAAAATTGGGGCAATATAATACTTTTGAAAATCATTTCAGGTGTGAGATGAGGAATAATTAATGTTAGGTTGAAGTAGGAGATTTGAGATATTAAAAGGTGGACAACATTGGAAAGTCAGTGTGGCATCTTCTACTAATTCCACCTGGAGGGAAAGAACTTGGGAAGGGGATAAAGTTTGTAAGACTTTGTAAATTAAGAGATGAGATGAATTGTTCTGGGAGAAGACAGTTTTGGGTGACCAAAATTTAGTTTCTTTGACTCACGAATAAGAAGCTCAGTGGCCACTAAAGCAGGTATGCAGGGTGCCCAGTCCTGAGTAGTGAGGTCCAGCTTCTTTTACTTGTACCCTACAGGTGAAAAAGAAAGTCCCAGCTGATGTCCTAGGACACCAAGGACATATTCCTTCTCTATTACATAGAGGGAGAAAGGACATGTTAAATCTGGGGCGATGAAGAGCTGGGGCCTGGATATGGGCTTGCTGGAGTCTCTGAAAGGGTTTAGTAATGGGATGGAGAAGGAGCTCATGCAGAGAGCCAAGAGCTGCCTCATATAAGGGCAGGCAAGGAGAGAAAAAGAGGGGATACAGGAACGCAGGAAGCCAGCTATTCCTAACAATGGATAAAACCTCTTCTTTTGTGGAAGAAACTGCAAGGGACTGAATTAGTTTCCTTCTGTCTAGGGTAATAGCCTTTTGAGTTGGAATTATAGTTAATCCCAAATAAATGAGGGGGTAGACAGTTGGGCCTTAGAAGGTGAGACTCGATAGCCTCTTTTGGACAGGAAATTTAAAAGAGCATAGGTATCAGTTTGCTGATCTCCAAAGATGGACTGCAAAGTAAAATATCACATACTGTTTGAGTTAAGACTTAGGGAGAGACAGTAAGAGGTCTGAAGCTAAAGCCTGACCAAAGAGGTGTGGGCTGTCCAAGAATCCTTGGGGAAGGACAGTCCAGGTGAGCTGTGTGGAGAGGTGAGTGTCAGGATCAGTCCAGGTGAAGGCAAAGATGTTTTGAGATTGTGAGCTGAGAGGAATAGAGAAAAAGGCATCCTTGAGATCTAGAACTGAGAAGTGGGAGGTGTCTGGGGGGATAGTGGGAAGAAGTGTGTAAGGATTAGGCACTACAAAATGAAGAGGGACCACTGCAAAGTTAATGGGCTGGAGGTCTTTAACCAGGCAATAGGTTCCATTAGGCTTTTTAACACCAAGTATAGGGGTGTTAAAGGAAGAAGAGGTGGGGCAAAGTAGGTTTTTTTTTTTTTTAAAGGTTAGAGAAAATAGGATTAAGTTTCTTAAGCCCCTGGAGAGAAAGGGGGTACTGAGCTTGGGTAATGTACTTAGTAGGATCTTGTAATTGAATAACGATGTGGGAATGGTGTTTAGAAACAGAGGGATTTTGGGTGTCACAGACTTGGGGGTCTTCCTGGGAGGCTGGTAGAGGAAAACATTGGTAGAAGTAGACGTTGGGGCTGGAGATTGGGAGGCTAGAAGGAGGAGGAGTAGAGCAGCTGGCAAGTTGGTGTAAGGTGAACAGAAGGAGCAAATGAAATGGAAGCTCCTACGTTTGCTAAAAAAAAATCTCTTCCCATAAGAAGTACCGGGAAAGTTGGCATGACTAAAAATGAATGAATGAGATAAAAACCCCTAAAAACACAGTTAAGTGGTGGGGTCTGCTGAGGTAGGAAAACAAGGAGAGATAGGCCCCTAGAACTCCTTCAGTACCGAGTATGTGGCTCTGGTGTTCAAAAGAAAGGAGATGGGCCTTCCTAATACCATGATGTTTACCCATGGCTCCCTGTTACAACTGATGGTTGTGGTTGGGTCCACAGTTTTACTAGTTGTTGGTCATAGGGAGAGATTTGTCTATTTAGAATATTCTTAGTCCTCCGAGACAGGCACATTATAGGGATTGAAAGGATCGGGACTTTGAAAATTTATTGTCCATGTGGTGACCTGAAAGTCTGTAGGAAAATGTCAATGATAGGTAAATATAGTTGTCAAAAAAAAAAAAAAACCAGTAGAAGATCTGAAGGGGGTGGATCACCACAGTAGAGCGAACTTGTCCTTAGGTACAGCACAAGCATTGATCTGATTTCCACATGCAGAGCAACCCCACTAACAATTCACTGCTCCACAGCTCTCTGTAAATGCGTGATTGTCCAAGTCTTAGAGGGATTTCACTTTAAGTGCCAGAATTTCTTAAAAATCTGCATTTCATTGGGAGTCACCACAGGTCACGGCTCCTGCAAAACTGAAAACTTTACAGTCATCAGGGAAGCAGACTATGACCACAATCAGAAAAGTCATTCTTCTTGATGGCAACTTCCCTTTATTTCCTTAAAGGAAGTGTAAACTCCAGCAGGGGACCACCTGACGTTTATCCTTGTGCTCTCCCATGGCTGACTATTTACCACTTTTGGGCGAAACTCAGTCTTGTGGTTTTATTGTGTCAGTCACATTTTAAAGACTTGTATTATCAGTTTCTCTCCTCAAGAGTTTTCCTTGTTTAGTGGAGATTTGGGCTCAGAGACATCTTTGTGCACCATGTCTAAGTTAGTTTATGATGCTATTAACCATCTTGTATTTCTTTTGGGTCACAAGGAGTGAGGTAGAGACGAACTCAGGATCACCCATTCACACCTCACTGCTACAATGACATGTTCATAGGCTGAATAGATGGCTCAGCAGATGAGAACACTGACTGCTCATCCACAGGGCTGGACTTTGAATCCCACAACCACCAGAGGAGCTTACTACTCTCTTTAAATCCAGTTACAGGGGATCAGATAGCCTCTTGTGGCTCCACTGGTCCCTGGCATCCACTTGGAATATACACTGAGAAATTCAAGTCATCAGGGTTAGCAGCCACTTAGTCCACAGAATAACACATTCCACAGAAAAGGAAAAAAAAGATACCAGTTTATCATTTTAAATTGTTAGATTTTATTATTCAAATTGTACTGTTTTCTTCTATCCTGTAATGAAAACATGTTTACAATCTGAAAAGGCAATATTTTACTGACTTAATGTTTCAGTTTATCAGGGTGATGGCCCAGTGGGAAATGTGTATGGTGTGCAAAGCTGGTGACCTAATCTTGATCACCATATGAAGTGAGACAAAAATCAGCCACACAATGTTGTCTTATGGTCTCCACATATCTGTCAGGCCTAAAACCCTATAATCATATTACACATACATATAATAGAAGCTTTTAAAAATACACCTTATTGATATTACATTATCTGGCATCTATAGATAATTCCCTCAGAAGAAAGCAATTCCATTAGGACTTCAAGCTGTACTGTGAAATATGCAATTGATGACTGATCATCCGACATTATTATATCTCTACCAGTCCGATGTAGAGGTTGGTTTGAACCACATTTGAGGTATTTAAGATTTTTTTATATTCTCTATTAAGCATGTTAACATTAACTTTGTTAAAATATGTTGACAAAACAGCAAATGTTTGAGTACATCATGTACCATTAGATTTACACTCAAGAGACTAAGACTTGAGGTTTCTCAGTTCAAATATATCCATAATTACTGACATACAAGCTAGGCAGGGTAACAAACATCTCAAGGGAATTTGTAAAGATATGAAAAACAAAACCAAGAACAACAATCCTCTACCCTTTCACAGACACCCTTACTTGAAAAGCATGATCACACACTGCCTGATATTTAAATAAGCAATGTAACACTTAGATGATGGGCATCTGATTCTTAACATTTCAGCAGAAAAAATACCTATCACTAAGTTAAAGCACAGTGGGAGATAAACAAAAGTCACAGAAGGAACACAAAGAGCACAAAATAAACTTCAATAAATGGGTTTGTGAAACATATAGAACACTTTAATATCTGTCTCAAATGCTGAAATGTAGAAATCACAATGCAGTGATCTCCACCATCAGTCTTCAGTGAAAATAGTAAATAATTAACTTTCTTCATAATAAAAAAGACATGAAACAAGAATTTCTTAAAACTACAGACAATTGTGATGTCTAAAGTCTTTACCAAATCATTTATATAAAGAGGCTTTTTCTCTTGCAGGAGTTCATTCCTTTTACCTGATATCAAGATGATACAAAAAGTCGTTAAAATATTTATAGGGCTAGAGACACGGACAAGCAGTTATGTTCAGTTCATTGCTAGCAAAAAAAAATTCAAGTTTTTGAGAATTTCCTGTAGATCCTGCTACAGGAATACACAAAAATCTAACCTTCTTGAGAACAAGCACGAAGATTCCCAGACCATACAATGGCGTTATATAATTCAAATCAAAACAAATCTACAAGCAAACAAACTTTCACTTATGTTTGTCTTCTCTGAATATTCATTCGTGTAACACAGGTGTTGAGGCATTTAAAGGCTTACTATCAGAGTTTTTCTTCGTCACTCATGGGGTCATATAATAGAATGCAAACATGTAGACTTGGAGTTAAAGAAATAAATCCTTCTCAATTGGTGGCATCATTTGGGATGTTTTAAAAAACACGGTTCTTCTGAAAGAAGTTTGTCATTGGGGTTCTGCCTGAGATTGTACATCCACACACCATTTCAAGTTCCTATCCCTGGCTCATGCTGCAGGCTAAGGACGTATGTTCTTAGCTTCCCAATGTGGCTGCCATGTCTGACACTTGACATGATACATTTATGGTGATCATATAACCCTCTGGAACCCAGGATCAACTTAAACTCTTTCATAAATTGACATACACATTATGTTTTATCACAGACAAAGATGAGGCACTCATACACATCTATAAAATTTTAAATCTGGATAAGTGTATTTATGTAATTGAAGAAAATATTACACAATGCTTGAACCTACACCTGTAGATTTTTTTCTTCACAATCTTATGTAAGTAACTACGTGTTGACTGAAGATATTACCAAAGATTTATAGTCATATTCCCTTCAGTATGAATTTTCTCAGTGCCTCAAAGGGTACTGCAATATGCAAAGGCTTCAATAGACCTACTATTCAAAAGTTTTACTCTTGTATAAAGAATACTAAAAAGAGGAAAACTTTACCACACTCATTGCACTATTAGAGTTCCTCTGGCCAGAGTCTGGTGGCACACCCCTCTAATCCCAGCACTCAGGAAGCAGGGACATGTGAAACTCTGTTACTTCAAGGCCAGTCTGGTCTATGACAGACTCCCAGTGCTACAGAGAAACCCTGTCTCAAGAAACTTAAAAAAAAATTTTCTCTGCAGTATGATTTTTTTTCTCATGATTTTAAAGACTGATGATACCCTACATAGGCGTTATTGCATTGGCTAAATTTATAAGGTTTCTATTCAGTATGTGTTCTCTGTTGGATGTGAAGACTTCTACAACATACAGTGGCTTTATTACATTGATGGCATTTATAAGATTTCTCTCCAGTATGTGTTCTTTAATGTTTTTGGAGACTACTAAGATGTGAAAAGGCTTTATCACATTGATTACATTCATAGGGTCCCCCCCCCCCCATACGTGTTGTTTTGTGTCTTTGGAGTTTGCAGAGCTGTGAAAAAAAAAAGCATTATCACATTGGTTACATTCAAAGGGCTTCTGTCCAGTATGTGTTCTTTTATGTCCGTGAAGCTTGCCATTACTTGCAAAAGCTTTACCACATTGATTACATTGACAAGGTTTCTCTCTCCTTATGTGTTCTTTGATGTACTCGGAGATGACTGTTCTGGGAATAGGCTTTACCACATTGATTACATGTGTAGGGTTTCTCTCCAGTATGTGTTCTTTTATGTATGGAGAGACAATAGAGATATGCAAAGAATTTACCACATTCAGTACATTCATAAGGTTTCTCTCCAGTATGTATTTTTTTATGCTTGTGAAGTGTGCCATAATCTGCAAAAGCTTTATCACATTGATTACATTGATGAGGTTTCTCCCCAGTATGTGTTCTTTTATGAATTTTGAGATGATGCAGGTGTGCAAAGGCTTTACCACATTCAGTACATTCATACGGTTTCTCTCCAGTATGTGTTCTTTTGTGATTTTGGAGTTTAGAGTGTTGTGAAAAAGCTTTACCACATTGATTGCATTCAAAGGGCTTCTCTCCAGTATGTGTTCTTTGATGTATGCGAAGATAATTGTGATATGCAAAGAATTTACCACATTTAGTACATTCATAAGGTTTCTCTCCAGTATGTGTTCTTTCATGTCTGTGAAGCATGCCATTGTCTGCAAAAGCTTTATCACATTGATTACATTGATAAGGTTTCTCCCCAGTATGTGTTCTTTTATGTGTTTTGAGATGACTTGGGTATGAAAAGGCTTTGCCACAATGATTACATTCAAATGGCTTCTCTCCAGTATGTGTTCTTTTATGTTTTTGGAGCTGATCGTGACTGGCAAAAGCTTTACTGCATTGATTACATTCATGGAGTTTCTCTCTAGCTTGTGTTCTTTCAGGTATTTGGAGACAACTGGTACCTGCAAAGTCTTCATCATATTGAACACCATCGTATGCTTTCTCTGCAGAATGGCTATTTTCATGCCTTTGAAGATGAATGTAACATGCAAAGGCTTTAACACATTGAGTATATTCAGAGGGCTTGTCTCCAGGATGGCTTCTTCCATCCCTGCAAAGATAATTGACACATGTAAATGTTTTACCACATGCATTAGACTGATGAATCTTAATAGCTTTATGAATTAATTTTATACTTTTGTCTAATTATAAAGAGGAATCAGATTTTAAGTTTTGCACTCCTGGTACTTTCCTTCATTATGGAGTGTTTTGTGTCTATGAAGAATCTGTGATGATAATAATAAGGGTCATCATTTCATAGACCACATTTATAGCATCATTTTATATGAGATTTTTTACATTTTTGAAAAGAACCAGATGAACTCAGTTTTAAATAAGCTTTACCATATTTATTGCATTTTTAAGTTTTTCTATAATATAATATATACTATATAAGAAAGTATGCCAGGACAAACAAAAGTAAGTATACAGTCCAACACTCATAGGACTTTTCTTCACTGTGAGTTTGTCTTCCCAATAAAGTTGGAAAACTAATTAAATATAAACTTGTATCACATTCAAATAATCTATTCAATGTTGAAATACAAAATACCTTTCACATCTTATTATTCTGAGTGAGGTCCAGTCCTTTCCATAACCTGAATATTCACTTGCTCGTGTTCAGAGTGACATATGATATTCTTATTAAATGAAGAACAATTTTTTTTTCATTGAATTCACACAGCTTCACTTTCTGTTCCTCCAGCTTATGTGATACAGGGATTAAAGCTTCTCTCCACAAGAGTCTTTTTGACTCTCATGATATCATCCTTTCAATAGGGTTAATAATATCACAATTATTTGAGTAACTCTACCTTTACTACAGACTGTTTACTTCTCAGACAGATTTTGACATGTACTTATTATCTATTCAATGTGTATGCCTTGTATAGTATCAGAGTTGTATGAAAATAAATGGATTGGCTGTTCTATAATATAGTTATCAAGGGGCTATAATTCAAATGGTGGTGTCAGATAAGTCATTGTTTATTTCTTTTCTTTATTAGAGGAATGCCTTAAAAACACTGATATTGCGGCATATGATTTTGTGAGAAATTGATAATGATCAATATACTTTAATCTGTTCATATGTATATTGTTCCTTTGCTTTAAATCTTCTAGGAGACATTACAATTTCTTCAGAGGCGAATTTATATCCAGTTGCACATGAAAATTACCTTTCATGTCTTCTAGGACTTTGGCAATGTTCTTCAAAACTATGGTCTTCCCAACTGTAGCCTAAAATATAGTACCAGAAAATATAGGATATATTATTGGGTATTGTAAAAAAAAAATAATAATTTAAGTGAACTATGCCTTGGTTATCCAGCTCATATCTCAAACTTTCTCCAACAAAATCACACAAGAGTATCAGTAACCAAGACACAGTTGTCCCCTTGTTTCAAAATGTAAGGGAAAGTTTACAGTCTCACCTATAGCCGTGAGGTTCCTGTATGTCTCCAGCATCACATCTTTGTAGAGACTCTTCTGGGAAGGATTTAGCAAAGCCCACTCATCCTGAGTGAAGTCAATGTGCACATCATCATAGTTTATGGTATTCTAGAATAATAAAACCAACAGTAAAACAAAGTCTGATCCTGATATTGTAAATGGATACTTCTTTTACAGTAATATATTCACATAATTCTGGTATGTCCTTCCATGACATAGGTATTATAACTACCTATGTATATTACATAGGTAATTACCATGTTACTTTAGAAAGAAACTGAACAGGAGGACCACATGTGCCATTCCTTGGCCCTTTAAATAGGATACAGCCTTGAGAAAGAAATGCCAATGAACAGACATACAGAGACAGACAAGCAAGCAGATCAGTGCTACTGAGAACACATCAGAAAGATTGCATAGACAATTATTAACTACAAAAGAGATGGATAACTTTAGTATGTTGGCTTATGCCTCTATATTTATTTATTTATTTATTATGTATACAACGTTCTGTCTGTGTGTATGCCTGCAGGCCAGAAGAGGGCACCAGACCCCATTACAGATGGTTGTGAGCCACCATGTGGTTGCTGGGAATTGAACTCAGGACCTTTGGAAGAGCAGGCAGTGCTCTTAACCTCTGAGCCATCTCTCCAGCCCCTGGCTTATGCCTTTAATACCAGTATTCTATGTAAAAGCTGATAAATTAAATTGAGTTGGGTGCCAGCCAAAGCCTATGCAGTGAGTTACAGTTTAGCCAGAGTTACAAATTGATAACACTAGGTCTCCTCCTTCCCAAAAAATCATTCAAATAAAAAATGTAAAAAGAAATCAGAGGTTTTTGCTGAAGTTCCTACAAAAAGTTTTGCATTCATTCTTGTTCTACATTCATCTTCCAGAACATGCAGTGGGCCAGTTTAAAGTGTAACAGAACAAGATCTTTCTAAATAGTGGGCCTGTTTCAAAAGTTACAAATGGACCAAAGATAACATCAGCAATGTAAATGTTGATCATAAATAACACAGGGCAGGAGAGATGGCCCTGCACTTAAGGTGGTCTTGTTGGTCTTGCAGATAGGTGGGCTCAATTGTCAGTACTTACACAGGGGCTTAGAACTATCCATCACTTCAACTCCCTGGGTTTGAGGCCTGTTCTGACTACTTTTGGGAACAAGAACACATGTGATACAAATCAATGAATATAGGAAAAAACACATGTTCATTCAATAGATTGCAAAACAGAAAAACAGGCAGGAAGCATGTAATATACCTCCAATACAATGATTCAGAAGTCAAGGTATTAATATCATGGATACTGCTATCTTGGGAAAGAGAAGGATACCCTCCACTAAACATCAAAAGTAAGATGTAGGGAAGTTCAGCATAGCAACAAATGCTTGAAATGCACAAAAATCTACATTCAAGGTCCATCAGCAAATAAAAATTGCATAAAAAGAAGCATATTGGCCCACAATTAATCCCTGTGTCCAGAGGCCAGAATCATTTATATCTCTGATTTGAGGTCAGCGTGCTCTAAGGAGCTTCTTTCAGGACAGCCAGAGATACAGACAAAAACATTGTCTTTCAAAATCAAAACTGAACCTAAAAATAACTAAAATAAAAATCAGGATAGCAAAGAGTATTGAGTATCAATTACTTCAACTGTGTGTTTTGTCATTTAGTGATACCATCTATAATGGTGGTGAATTCATGACAGCAGGACACACATAACCAGAAATGGGTTGAGGCTATAGACATGTAAATCCAGTCCCCATTGAGGAATTTCATTCAAGAGGCTCCTCCTTCGAAAGGTTCTACAAACACAACAAAGAAAAGCATCAATAATAGACAAGGGTTCAAATGCTTAATCCAATTTGGGGATCTTTTCCGTCAATCAACTGTATTTTGATTATGATCACTAAATATTCATAGTCATCTTATGATAAAAAAAAAAGTATGTTGTCGCCGGGTGATGGTGGCGCATGCCTTTAATCCCAGCACTCGGGAGGCAGAGGCAGGCAGACGTCTGTGAGTTTGAGACCAGCCTGGTCTACAAGAGCTAATTCTAGGACAGGCTCCAAAGCCACAGAGAAACCCTGTCTCGAAAAAAAAAAAAGTATGTTGTCTAACTTCAATGATTGTCATAGCCTGGAACAGTCCCTGAACTGTTTCAATGTGAAATTTCTTATAACACTCATGATATTGAGTTGACTTGGCCATACCCAATCCAAAAAAGCCAGACCTCCTAAAACTGCCACTCCACAGGAGATAATGGGAGCCAACTACATGCAAAATACCACAGTGAGGTAGAGACTCCCAATTATCTGAGGAATTACCATATTGATTTCCATAGTGATAATAGGGATTTGCAATTTCATCAGCAATGGAGTAGTGTTCTCCTTGCTTAATACTCTAGCCAGAATGAGTGATCACTTGTGTTATTGAACCTAGCCATTCTCACATTAGAAGGTGAATTCTAAAAGCTGTTTTGATTTACATTTTATTGATGGCCAAGGATGTTGAACATTTAGTTATGTGTTTCTAAGCCAGTTTAGATTCAATCTATTTAGAATTCTTTGTTCAGATCTCTACCATATTTTTAGTTGATTTATTTGTTGATGTGTAACATTTTCAGTTCTTTTTCCTTCTAAGCAAATAAACTCAAACCACATAGGCTAACATGGTATATACTCATTTTAAGTGGACTTTAGCTGTTAAATAAAGAATAGTCACAGTACAATCCTAAGACCCAGAGATGGTAAGGAACAAGGATGTCTGTAGCAGGGGGTGCAATGAGGCCCCATGTAAACAAGAAATAGACTAAATTTTATGGGTGGACACAGAGCAAAAACAGTAAAGATCATGGAAGTAAATGGAGGGAGAGAGGGGAAGAAACAGCAAAAGATAACTGGAATAGAAAATCTTTCATTGGTGATGTGGAAACAGTGCAGTAGCAACTTTCTACAAGCTACGAGGTGACTCTGGGGAGAACTACCAGTAACTCAGAATATGGAGCTTGAACTGGCCATTTTCTGTAACCACATACAGTTCCCAAGAGTTGGACTAGGAAACTTAGCCAACCATAAAATATTTGACACACACTTGTTGTGTCCGGAATAGATATCAGGGAAATGGTGGCTCATAATTGGTCTAGTGGTAATCCAATGATTAGCCTAACTGAGGCCCAAGTTGGCCAGGATGCATGCCTAGATAGGCAGGAATCAAAAGTTGGATATCTCAGAGAACTAGGGTAGAACCAAATACAACTAAGGAAAAAGAAAAAAAAAAGTCAATGTAATGATACATAACTCTATGTCCAATGGCTCTCCAGGTCTCCAATTCTGTTCAGCCTTGTTGAGTACAACACACTTCTTCTTCTTGTGCTGTGCACTCCCCATTAGCAGCTCTCCTTGGCAGGTAACCTATGACACTGGCATTACTATCATCTTACATAGTTAAATACTTGTAACCTTCCAATATCAAAGATCCACTTACGATCTTCCAGACTCCTTCACAGGCCTTGTGTCAATTACACTGACTCTGCCCTCTGAAGTACAGACAACTGGTTTTCTAGCCTCTAGCTGGCTCAATTTCACTACTCCTGCCATTTTTGACGTTCATTTCACAGTGCTGGCATCTCCAAAACACTGGGGGCTTCTGTTACAACTGGGTTGCACTTTCACCAGTGGTCTCTCCTAGGATCTCCTCAAGGTGCCACACCTCAAATTCTTGGCATGACTTCTAGAGTCCAGGGCTTTCAACTGCCAATGAGACTACACCTTCAGTGATGGCCTTTTCTGGTCTCTACAGTGCCATGCCTCACATCCATCCACACCTTCAAAACCAGTACCACCTGGGTGATACACATTACCAAGTCTATCTACCAACATGAGGTACAACCTTGGCTACATCTAAAAGACAGCTTCTCTGTGCTCTGAGGAAAATAATCCCAAGACATTTTCATATCTGTGGTGCTGGTCTCTTAATCAACACTAATTTCTTAGCTCTACCTGACCAGCCTCAACTACTCAGCAAAGCAAAGTTTCACTTAAATACTTCTCATAACTTGCTCACCACAGCTGATTCTTCAGCCCCAGCTAACCAGAAACAAAGGATTTAATGCCTTTATTCTATTCTTAACTCTTAAGCCAGAACCATGTGGCCAAGGCTGTCAGGTTCTGCTGCTCACTGGGGCTGGAACTGGGCCCCTTGTTTAAATACATCTTCACCAGCTTTCTGTCTTTCACTGCCAAAGCTTGGCTGTCCTGAAACTTGCTCTGTAGACCACAATGGCATTGAACTCAGAGATATGCCTACCTCTCTTTTCTGCATGCTAGGATTAAAGGCATGTGCCACCAACCCCTCAGGTCACCATACCCTTTATTCCATTTCTTAATCATTTTATGTCCTCAAATTTTGAACGTAGCTACATCCCACTTTTGGGTGTCCCCCTTTCCTAAAGTATTTTTCCTTTTTTTAGCTGCTCCTTTCAATATATATCTTCAATAGAGTTACCACTAATATCCATAGACAGAGTCTCTCCTACACTGTTTTGAGATTTCTTCAAATGGAGTTAATCAAAAACTCTTCACTTTTGCCTCAGGCAGATTCTTGGGACCATGGCAAAATTCAACCACATCCTTCACCAAAATATCACAAGAATGACTTCTAAGCAACATACTTAAATCCTACTCTGAAACCTCTTGATCTGGCTCCCGATATTTCACATCATTATCAAGGTCACTCTCTCCCATGCTCCTCCTAGTATGAGCCAGTATGGAGTGCTTAATGCATTTTCTGTTCTTCCTAAGCCAAATTCCCAAAGTTCATATTATTGCAAACAAAAGTATGGGCAAGTATAGCGCAGCAATACCCCAGTCCCTTGGATCAACTTCTGTTTTAGTTAGGTTTTTATTTCCATGAAGAGATACCATTACTATTCAAACTCTTATAACAAAAACATTTTATTGAGGTGGCTCACTTACAGTTTCAGAGGTTGAGGCAACTATCATCATTACAGGGGGCATGTAAGCAGGCTGCCAGATGTGATGCTAAGGCTGAGAGTCCTTTGATCTTGACTCAGGGTCAGCAGAAAGTCATCTGACACACTGAGGATAAGAAACCTCAAAAACCCACAGTGACATACTTCATCTAACAAGGCCATGTCCACTCCAAACAGCCACACCTCCCACTACTGCTACTCTCTATGTGATTATGGGGGCCAACTGCAAACAAACTACCACAGTGTTATAGCTGAGTCTTGATTTAGTTAAATTCCCATACTGATATCCATAGTGGCTATACAGGTTTGCAATCCCTGCAGGAATGGAGAAATATACCCTTTGTTCCACATCCATGAGATGCCACTTGGGCTATTGATCCTAGCTAATATGGCATGTATAGGATGCATTCTCAAAGTAGTTTTTATTTTCATTTTCTTGATGCCTAAGGATATCAAACATTAATTTTAGTGTTTTTAATCCAGGTTAAATTCATCTATTTAGAATTATTTGTTTTGATCTGTACAATAATTTTTATTGGCTTATTTGATTTGTTGATGTCTACTTTTCTGATTCTGGGAGAATAGATCTAGAACTACAGAGACAAACATGATAGATACTCACATGTCAGTGGATATTAGCAGCTGAGTAAAGAATCATCACAGTACAATCCACAGACTCAGAGAGGGTAACAAGGAAGGTTGTAGTAGGGGAATACATTGATTTCCCATGGGAAGAGAAAATAGATTAGGTTTTTATGAGTGGACTGGGAGCAACAACAGGAAGGGTCATAGGAGTAATAGAAGATCAGAGGGAGAGAATGCAGGGAGAGATGACTGGAATAGAGAAACTTTTAGGGTTGATGTGGAAATTTAGTTCAGTAGAAATTTCTGCAAGCTATGGCGGTGACATCAGTGAGGACTCTCAATAACTAAAAATATGGATGCGTCATCTTCTGTAATGACATATGGCTCCAAGTAGTGGGACTAGAAAGAAAGCCAGCCATAAATTATTCAACACACACTTGTGTTGTCTGGAAAATAAATCAGGGAATTGGTGTCTTAAATTGGTGTAATGGCAAACCAGTGACTGGACTAAATTGAGGCCCAAACTAAACCAACACTGGCTGGATGAGAAGGAAGTAGTTGGATGGCTCAGAGATTTAGAGTAAAACAAAATTTAAGTTAACACAAAAGAAAATAATGGCCAATATAATGATTCCTAGCTCTACTCTGCCTGATAAAATCATAGATTGTTTCCTATCCTAATTGTCATCAGAGGGGTTTCCTCTGACAATTGATTGTGGCAGATGCAGAGAACTTCACCCAAACACTAGATGAAGCACTGGAAGGATGCAGAAATTTGGAGGGAGTTTGTATAGTGGCCAGAGATGTCAAGGACACCAGAAAAAACACAATCCACAGAATCAACTAAGTAGGGATCATAAGGGCTTAAAGAGCCTGACAGAGCAATTATGGAGCTTGCAGGGTCTGAGTCCGATCCTCTCTATGCATATTGTGGTTGCTTTGCTTGGTGTCTTTGTGGGACTCCTAACAGTAAGAGTGTGTGTATTTCTGACTCTTTTTATTGCTCTTGGGACTCTTTTCCTTCTACTGGGCTGCCTAATGTCCCCAAAATATGAAGGTTTGTGTCTAGTCTTATTGTATCCTGTCATAATATTCAGTTGATATCCCTGGGAGGCCTGCTGTTTCTGAAGAAAACAGAGCAACAGTGGATCTGAGGCAGTGGGAATCTTGGGGACTAGGAAGAACAGACAGAGTTTAGGCTGTGGTCAGGATGTATTGTATGAGAGAAGAACAAATAAAGAAAATAAACAAAAAGAAATGAAAAAGCAGTTTTAATTCTAACTTATGATCCTCATACTCTTTAACAGCCCCATGCTGTTCAAATATCCAAATTCACCTCTGATAATCAAGAAAAAATATTGTCTTGTGATATCTTGTAAAATCAATAAACAAAGTAAACTATTCAGATATATAATGGCACAGGATATATTCCCATTTAGAAAGAAAGAAATGTGACTGGTGGTGGTCCAGGCTCCAATTTGGGCAGACATTTCATACTCATATACAGACCACAACAGACAGAAAAACAGGTCAGCAGTCCATGAAACTCCCCCTTTCCTTTAGTTCCCATAGACACAATCCCACAGCAATTCCACAGCCTTTGCCCACGTAGCCATATCCGCACACCCAAACTGGGTGTGAGACCCCTGCTTATGAGCAGGTCAAACAAGCCAGAAGAAGAGGTAGGTGAACTCAGACTAAGACTCCCTGATGAAACAGAGTCCACATGAGCCATTATAATTCCAGGCAGACTGCCCACGAATTGATCTCCTCCACTCTTTGAGTACCTCCCCTACACTACTCCAAATCCCACTTGCCTCCTTGTCACTCTGTTTTAGTGCTCAACATCTGTGGGGATGCTCTGTTTGAACAAAAGATACACCAGCTGCTAGAAGTCCATGTAGGCCACCTGCCCACAGACACCCCCACTCTCAAAGTCCCCAACACCACACTGTTCACATCCACCATTCACATTTCCCCAGTCTGCAACTGTCACAAAGACACCCTAAAAGAACAAAGGGCACATCTACCCCCAGATTTCTGGTCCCAAATATGGATAAGGGGGACTGTTGTTGAACCATAGGCTAGCCACACAGACCAGAAAAAGAGAGGAGAGCAAATAGAAACCAAAGAACAAAACATCCATTCCAAAGACACAAAATGAGAAATAGGAGTGTAGACTCACAATCACCACAAACCCAGATACACAGATGCCAGCTAAAGAACACAAAGAACAGCCAGGGCAATTTGTACCCATCAAAGCCCAGCTCTCCTACTAAAAGTCCTCAATACTCCAACACACCAAAAGCACAAGTAAAAGACCTTCAACAAATTTTATAAAGATGATATCAGTCCTGACAGGGCATATGAGAATAAATCCCTTAAAGAAGGAAAGAAAAAGATAAATAAAATATTGGAGAAATGGATAAATCTCTAGAAATCCAAGAAAAAATATCAAAAAGTCAAAGGAAATGGACAAAACTGTTCAAGACGTGGAAGTGAAAATAGAAGCAGTAAAAAAAATCACCAATTCAGCCGGGCGGTGGTGGCGCACGCCTTTAATCCCAGCACTCGGGAGGCAGAGGCAGGCGGATCTCTGTGAGTTCGAGACCAGCCTGGTCTACAAGAGCTAGTTCCAGGACAGGCTCCAAAACCACAGAGAAACCCTGTCTCGAAAAATCCAAAAAAAAAAAAAAAAAAAAACAGCTAAAACAAAACAAACAAACAAACAAAAAAAAAATCACCAATTCAATGAATTTTGGAAATGAGAAATCTAGGTAAGTGAACCAGAATTACAGAAGAAAGCCTTGCAACAATAATAGAAGAGACGAAAGAGAGAATCTTTGGTGTTGATAATATGATAAAAGAAAATTATAAATCTAAAAACATTGCTGAAACATAATATTCAGGAAATCTGAAAATCTATAAAAAGATCAAACCTAAAAATAATAGGAATAGAAGGAAAACAATTCCAGTTCTTAGACCCAAAAATATTTTTTTAAAAAAATCATAATCAAAAATTTTCTTACTGAAAGGACATCAGGTAAACAGAGCCCACAGAATAACCTAAGCAGGCCTCATAGGTGTCCACAGTAAGCAAGCAACAATCATGAAGCCTGAATGAGTGTATGCCATGTTCTCTGCTTATATAGTAGGGCTGTGTAGCTTGGTGTTTTTGCAGGACTCATAAAACTATGTGTGGGAGGTGTCTTGGAATCCTATTCTTCCTATTAGGTTACTTCATCAGGCCTTGATAGGAGGATTTGTGCCTAGTCTTATTGTAAATTAATATGCCATGTTTGATTAATATTCCTGCAAGGTCTTCTCTTTTAAGAAGGGAATGGAGGAGGCGGGGATCTGGAGGAGATGGAGCAGGGGAGGGGAAGGAAAGGGGCAAAGGGAGGGGAAATTGTAGTTGAGATGTATTGTATAAAAGAAGAATTTTAAAAAGAAAAGAAAGAGAAATGTGGACATTGTTGGGAAAGACTGGACCAAAGCAGAATTAAAACTCAGCAGGACAAAAACCAAACCCCATAGTTCTGTCACAAACACATTGGGCTTCACTCTCAAAGAGTTCACATAGTGCTATCCCTGCATCTTTTCACTCATTTTTCTCACTTGCTAATTTCACTCCGTGTGCAGCCACCGATGGCAAATGCCTCATCCCTCAGTTGTGTCACTATCCTGTCTTCCCAACAGAACACAAGCTTCATCTTCACAGCTTCATGCGATCAACTCTCAAAGGCTCCTGACTAGGTTTCTGACCCTGCCAAACACAGATGGGTTCACCAGCGCTGAACTGAACCCACAGAGGGAGAATCCATGACCTTTACATTTGCATCTTTATTGTTTCCAGAACCAGAACAACATGGATGATCATAACAAGTCTGGCTTCTATGTTGGTGTAGGCCTATATTTCTGTATGGTGTACCAGCCAGGCATAAAAGCCATAGACCTGGTCTAAGCTGATCACGTAGCTCTGCAGACAAGCTGTCTCTGCGTAACAATAGCAAGGATGTACTGCTCCTTTCTTCTTTTGTTAGAAATGTAGATCTCCTGAGGAGAGGTGTTGGCTGAAACTGGTCAGGATGTTTGGTGCTTATTTCTTGGTAATTTGGAGGAAGTCTTATAGAGATGCTAATTCATGGCCTACACAGCTACCACACAGGCAGATGCGGAGGGACGTGACTAAAGGCCATTCACCAGGGTTACCAAGGATACAGCCAAATGTGTTTTCCCTGCTCAATTTATGCAATTTATAAACTGTTTGGAGAATAAACGAGAGAGATCTTGCCCTTCCATGACGACCGTGTAAGTTGTGTCTGATTATTCCTCGTGACTACGTTTCAGTCCAGTTTGGGAATATAATTGTCTGTGTTGAACCCACATGGGCTCCAACATGTTGGAATGGACCCTAACAGAGTTGCATGGACTAGAGTTGCAGTAGATTTTTTTTAGGAAGTTGATCCCTGGAACTAGGAAACATTTTGCTTACTCCTTCCATCAGTTGAAAGTTTAGCTGTATGGAATCTTACCCTTAAAACAACTTGCTAGGCTTTCACTCTAGAACAATGGGC